AGGTCCTAATCTACCATGACTAGTAGTATCCTTACAAAAAGAGATCAGCAACCTAAGTGTCTATCAATAGATGATGGATAAAGATGTGTCTGTCTGTCTGTCTCTCTCTTACACAAACACACAAACACACACACACACACACACACACACACAGAAATATGATGCACCTATTAAAAAGGACAAATCCTGTCCTTTGGAGTTAAATGGGCAAGCTTGCAGGACATTAGATTAAGTGAAATAATTCAAGCACAGAAAGAGAAATACTACATGCTCTCCTTCATATACAGAAACTGAAAAATGTGACCTCATAGAAGTAGAGAGATGAAGATGATTGCTAAAGCCTCAGAAAGATGGGGGTGTCAATAGAGGGCTGTTAATTAATGGAAACAAAATTACAGATAGCTAGTAAGAACATCTAGTGTTATAAAACACGGTGGGATGAATAGTTAACAATCTGCTGTACAGTGCAGAGGACCTAAAAAAGGATTTTCAATGTTCCCAACACAAAGTAAAAACAAATGGTTGTGATGACTTGTGTACTAATTACCCTGATTTAATTCTCACACATTGTTTTCATGCACTGAGAAGTCATTATATTCCTATGAAAATGCATTATTTATCATTTTTTTTTAAATGGAAAAAAATGGGGGCTGGCAGATGACATAGGGGTTATATCGCTGGACTTCCTCATGACTGATCACAGTTGGAGTCCCAGACCAGGTGGCTTGAAACTTATGCTGGGTGCATGTACGTGCATGCCCAAGACCTCAGGAGGAAAATGGAGGAGAAGAGATAGTAGCATTGCCATTCTCCCTGAGGGGTGATTTCTCACTTTCCTTCTGTCTGTCTTTCTCTCTCTCCCCCCAGCAAGTGCACATGTTCTAAAGCAAAAAAAAATCTCTCAAAAGAAAAAAAAATGGAAAAAAGGAGAGGAGATTAGGACATAGACAGGCACAGAAGAAATTCTATGTGAAGACAAAGGGCGTTGACAGCTGACTGGAAGGTGAAGAGAGAGGTCTCAGAATGAAGCCAACCCTGCTGGTACCTTGACCTTGGACTTCCAGCCTCCTGAACTATGAGCAAAATAACTTTGGTGGTTAAAGTCCTCCAGTCTGTGGTACTGTGTTACTGAGACTTCTCAAAAAAAAAAAAAAAAAAAAAAAAACAAAAAAAAAAAAAAAAAACCCAAAAACAAAAAACAAAAAAAACCACCAGTGACATAGAAAAAAAACAAAAAACCAAAAACAAAAAAAAACACCAGTGACATGTTCTCCCCACTTGCAGTCCAACTCAGGTACGAGGAACACAAGGTGTGGCTCCACTGTCACTGCATGTGGTACCAGAAAACTGGCTAGCTGAGAGCCGGGAACATGCTCATGGCAGGTGGAGACTGCTGTATACTGAACAACTCACATTTTTTAGTCCATAAAAGGACTAACATTTCCAAGCATTTGTCTTATTTTTTTTAACTGTTTTCTCATTATTCATGATAGAGTACATGCATACACATACACTTGGGGAGGAGAGCACCCTACAGCCTGGTTATGCCACAATTCCCTTCCTCTAGTCCTCCAGCCTGTTGTATTCTGGGTACTTACTCTTGTGCCCAGCATGCTGCAGAGGGACCAGGTCGGGGATTCAAACTGCAGCTGCTGTGTGGAACCCGGCTTCTCTTGAGCAGTACGTTACTGCTGTACTACAAGAGCAGGCTCTTCGCTGCTCTTTCAACATCAGTAGCTAGCCCAGAGGCCTCCATCAGGACAGAAGAGTGAGGGCCTCTTATTGGTATCCTCTGAGGATAGGCTGGGCTCTGTCCACGTAGAGGGCTTCCCTGCAGGGCAGTAAGGTAAGGCACAGAGAGGGCGAGCCCTAATCCTTGGATGTCCAAGAACACCACAAAGTCTTCAAAGTTACTGTGGGAATGATGAGGAGTAAAAATGACAGTAACTTTGAAAGCCTAGCACTGTATTTGCAGTTTCTTAACTTACAACAGAGTATGAAGGAAATTTTATCATTGCTACTGTAATTATTCAACATTCAAATGAGGCCTAAGAACAAAGTTTCTTACAATCAAAGCATTGAATAAACATTGAGTAATTCTGCTATGGCTAATTAAAAATAAAAGTCAGATCCTTCTGGATCATCACCAGTGAGCTAAATCTCTTTTTTATACAATGGCAATTATTCAAAACTGCCAAGTCTAAAGAATAAACTGGACTAATTGAAGATAAAGAATGCTTATGAATCATTAGTTTAAAGGTTTTATCAGATCATGTTAAAGAACAAAAGAAGTTTACTATTTCTTTTGTCATCATTACTCAGAGCACACATTTTTTCCTAAAAAATTCTGTATTTTTGTGGAATTTTATTCAGTCAAATGAAGTTATAGCAAACATCCATTTTAAAAAGTAATAAATTTTCCTTAAAAGAACATATAGGGTTGGGGCAGGCAGGTGGCATGGTGGTTAAGGGTGCTGGACTCCCACATGGTAGACTGCAGTTTGAGTCCTGGACCTGGTGGCTTGCTTTCTCTCTTTCTTTCTCTCTTTCTCTCTCTTTTACTCTGTCCCTCTCTGGTCAAATTACAATAAATAAGTAGAGTTAAATAAAATACACTAATTAAAAAACAAAAAAGAGCATATAGGTGGACTAGCATGTGGAGTAGTAGTTAAGGCACGAGTCTCCCACAGGACAGACTGTGGTTCAAGTTCAGACCCGGTGGCACAAAGGTCATGCCAGGCATGTGTGTGTGCATGTTCAAAATCCTATGAGGAGAATGGAGGAGAAGGAACTGTGGAATGACCATTCCCTCCAGGTGTGTGTGTTAGGAGTGATTTCTTACCTGCTCCCTCTCTGTCTCTCTGGCAAGCAAAAAAGTCCTATGGCAAAAATGTCTCTTAAAAAAGAAAGAAAGAAAGAATATATAGGATAATGTATGTTATTAAACTCAAATGCTCCTTCATTTCCCTATACATTTCTAATTATAAGCTGCCCTCCCATTTCACATGGCATAATGAACAAAGGGTGGGCAGGCTTTGGCTCTGTGCTCTAATTGCCCCTTGTGAGATTTACTACGCTCTCTCTGGCATGGGCTGTAGTCATCATCTAAGGTTACTGTGTTTCCCTAAAGTCCTTTGTTGTGTTGAGGTTGAAAAAGACTGCAACATTTCTCAAAGCTAAGTTCCTGGATCAACTTACCCAGGTGTATCTGTACAGCTTGTTAAAATGCACCTGGGCTATACCTACTGGGGAAAAGTCACGACACATTGTTGCATAGAAAAACAGAAAAAATATGTCATGATTTTTCTGATGACCCAACAGATTTACTAATTTACTATTAGGGTAGGGCTCAGAAAGTTGGCATAATAGCTATGTCGCTGGACTCCCATGTAGTCAAACACAGTTCAAGTCCCGGACTCGGTGGCTTAAACTCACACCAGGTACATGTGCGTGCATGCCCAAGATCCCGAGAGGAGAATGGAGAAGAAGGGATTGCAGCGTGGCTATCCCCCTTGGGGCGCAATTTCTCGCTTTCTGTCTCTCTGGCGAGCGCACGTGCCCTATACCAAAAATCTTCCCCCCCCAAAAAAAAATGTTCACCTTAACCAAGTTCTCCAATTGATTCTTATCCTGAGTACAATTAAAAACCCACAACAGGACAGAATATCTGCTAACACTACTGAACTTTGAGATCTACCACTATTTAGTGTATGAGACCATGGGAAAGTTACTTTGCTTCACTGATCCCTGATTGTCTACTGACACATTAGGGATAACAGAACCTACTCCCAAAGGTGTTGAAGGATGACCTGAAACAATCTACATAAAGCCCATGCTGCCCAACACAGCGAGGATCCAGAAATGTTAACTAATGCTGTAATGAACAAAAAGACTTTGAATTTATCGATTTGTTGAGTGACTAACCCTGTATTATAGCAAAGGAATACACTAAGGAAACCAGGGAAATATGTCTTCTGATTAAAAAATCATGAAGCTTTGAGCACTCTGTTTTTAAATAATATTTAATGGTAAATACCAGGCATATGGCTATAAGAACACATTTTGAAAATGCAGTTCGCCAGTCAACTAGGTTTTCATTTCACGGCATCTTAAATGGAGGTGTCAAACAGACTCAGGGGAGTCTGAGACTTCCTGTGAAACATGATTTGACTTTGCTGTCCAATATAACACCATGACGTTTGTCTGTATACTTGCGTATTTGATTTAGTGAGGTTTTTTTTTTTTAATCATTTATATCTTTTGTTTTTATCTCTAAAAAAATCCCTGTGTACTAGTAAAGCAGAGATTAGAAACACACCTGGGATTTTTGTCGACCGAAGCAGCACGTGTATTTAATTATGGTGTGGTTTCCAGTGTTATCATTCTGAACATGCTCATGCCATACCCATTAAAAACAGGAAAAAAAGGAAGCTATGGGGAAATGCAGGCTGCACACAGTAAGTTTAATCTTTAGATGATCTCAGATGAATTTGTGCAAGCAGAATTCCAAATTACTGCCTGTAAATAAAAAGCAGAAACCTGCTCCTCCAATCTCTTCTCTCTGGAGACAACTTCTGGAGCACTTCTAGAATGAATTCCCATCTATAAAGTAGGTCACCAGAGGACCAACAAATGACGTGGAACAGCGATCTCTGTGGCATGGTGGGCACACAAAATTCACAGCTGGGTCCTGACCCAGAAGCTCCAAAACACTCAGGTTGGATTGCCGGGCTTCTCCACTGGGGCACCCAGCACTGAAAACATATAACACTTGTCTGTTTCCTTAGAAGAGGGTGAGATCAAGAATATTACGGAGAAGATGACACAAAAGATAAGAAAGAAGGAGAAAGAACAGTATTGATCAGTAGCTGGCTTTTGAGAGTAGAGAGCAGAGTAACAATGGGTAGAATGTACAAGAGAGGAGTTTCCAACAGAGATCAGGGATGGAACTGAAGCTCTAGGGTCAACAAAGTCTAGGCTGTAGCTCAAAACTGGAGCACTGCCCTATAGACAGGAGGACCTGCTATTAATTATAATAATTGCCATCAATTACTGAACAGTAATTTCTTTACTCCCATAACTAAGTGCTTTGTATACAACCCATGAGGTAGGTAGGTAGGTAGTTCCCCATTTCACAGATGAAGAAACAGGTTGAACACTAGTCACTAAGGACTTAAGACACTATAGCTATTTTGCTGATGAACAAATGCTATTCAACTGAGTGTGTTTTTAGAAAGATGACTCTAGCACTCCAAACAGACATGACATAATAAACTGAAATATAAACAACGATGGAGCTGGGGGATCAGGTACATAAGTCTGTGTTTTAATCATACTAACCCAGGAACAAAATTATAATGTTGATGACAACTGTTGTATTTATCCCTCCTCCAGCCAGGCAGTCACTAAAAATACTGACCAACCTCAATGAAATATGGACAAATTTTTATATCTGCATAAATACAAAATGCATGTGCTGATGCTTTGGGTTCCTATAAGGTTGTGACTCAAGATATTATGATGGCTGTGTTTCCAAGACAGTTCACATTTTTTGATCGCCCAAAGAGTTCAAATTAGAGCATAAGTAAATACATCTTACCCCTGATTTCATCTTTTATATACTCACTTAATGACTATTTCTGAACCTTGGACAGTCCTAAGAATAACAAAATCACTCCACTGAATGGAACAAGGAGCCATCAATAAATGGAGATGAAGGCAACAATTCTTTTTTTTTTTTTTCTGTAAGAGAGATTTTTTCTATAGGGTGGGTGTACTTGCCAGACAGACAGAGACAGAGAGACAGAAAGCAAGAAATCACCCCCCCAGGGGAGATGACCAGATCATGATCCCTTTTCCTCCAATTTCCTCTCAGGATTTTGGGCAAGCATGCACATATGGCTCGTGTGAGTTTTAAGTCACCAGGTTCGGGACTCAAACCATTGTCGACTATATGGGAATCCAGTGATGCAACCATTACATCATCTGCTGGTCTCATGAGGGCAATGATTTTGCACATTTACTAAAAATCATTGAATTACACACTTAAGGTGAGTATATTTTATGACACATAAGTTATATGCCAGTAAGTTGTTTAAGAAAGAGCAATAACACTCCATTGCTGCATACCTGAAAAGTTTGTCCTCTGAAAATAGTGGGGCTGGCTAGAAAAAAATGTTGGTTGCACTTCTCCCATTCTGTACTCCCCTTGCCACTGATCCAACTAACTCAGATACTACTCAAAATGTAAAGTGAGTTTAGTGATTTCCTTGTGAGAATGAACATACTTCTCTTAGATCCCATTGTTACTGTCTTAGTTTTTTGTTTGTTTGTTTTTTGGTTTTTGTTTTTGTTTTTTGCTATAGGGCACGTGCACTTGCCAGAAAGAGAGAGACTGAGAGACAGAAAGTGAGAAATCACCCCCCCCCGAGGGGGGGTGTGGCCACGCCGCAATCACTTCTCCTCCATTCTACTCTCAGGATCTTGGGCACACACACACACACACACACGCCCGACGTGAGTTTAAGCCACCGGGTCCGGGACGTGAACCGTGGTTGACTACATGGGAGTCCAGTGACATAGCCATTATGCTAACCGCTGGTCCCGCTTTTTGCCATAGGGCGGGCGCCACCACGCCCTGGTCCCACATTTTTAGCCTTTTTTAATGGGATATTTTATTTTTAGAGAGTGTGTGTGCTCGGGGGAGAGGGAGAGGGAGAGAGAGGGAGGGGGAGAGGGAA